AAAAAAAAAAAAAAAAAAAGAGGGGCATAAATTAAATTCAATTTTAGAAATAATGCAAAACAGGTATCAGCAAGACTCTTTGGTTTCAATGAATTCATAATACATAAAGCTTTCCATTATACATTTAACATAAGCCTAGGGAGGTTTTTTAATGGCTCTTTTCCTGTTATACTTCCGAACACTGTTAATACTTATAAAATACTAAAAAAAGATTTTGATATTTAATTCCCAGATTACCACTGCATTATCGTTAACTACTATTAACTCCACATTAGACATAAGTTTTGGAGGAGGCCATAGCCAAGGAAACAAACCAAGACTGCTGCTGCCAGTTCCATGCTTTCTCTACCAATATTTCACTCATAAACTAATTCAATCACAAGATACTTCTAATAAGTGACTTATGCTAGGAAGTTTTCTGCAATAACAATTATTCTCTAACATTAATTTTTATAGATCAGTCTTGATCTCTATACCCATTCAAAACTAATTTAAAGGATATATTTTACATTGAATAGCTATCATTTCTGATTTATTTTATGAATTTCAACTGAAGAAATAAAAGAAGTCTGACTTAATTAACCCAAAAAGTGAATACTTTTTAAAAAAAGTTGGAAAGTTGTGTTATATCATTGAACATACCTCAATTATAAAGAAGTTTTGAGTGTATGAGCATGGGTAATTTTTTCCAGTAAACTAAATAAATGCATGAAAAGGAAAGTATAATATACTGCAAGAAGATTACAAATGTAACGAATTTGTCTGATGTACCTTCAGATGCTGTGACCTGTGCAAAAGTTTTTGTTTCAATAAAAGAAGGTTTCTAGGAAAAAACGTGCAACGGATCCCTCTGCTCCATTCCTAAATCAGACTGAGGGAAAAGGGAAAACTGACCAGAGGGAGAAACGGATGAATTTGCATGTACTATTTTTAAAAAATAAATTATACCATGATCCTAGGCATTGAGAAATTCAGATCATCTGAGACCCAGGAGAAAAAAAAGTTTTCGGAGCTTCTAAAATGTCAACATAATCTTAAAGGCTATTTGCACAATATCAAATATATGGAGGGTGGAAAAAGGTAGAACGAGCAGATTACTGATAGAGAATTAGGAAATACATTTAAAGGGAGGCTAAAATCACAAAGAAAAAAATCTAATTTGATACTAATTTGATTCCCTATACAGGTGTATGCATATCCAAAAATTTGCTACTTTGTTCTCTTCCATTTTCATGCTGCAGCCTCTCAGTTTTGAGTAAACCCCTGTAAACCCATTTCATTATAGTAAGATATGCAGAAGCATTCACAACTTCTCAACCATTTTCAAAGCATTTAATTCCATTAAAACATTGTCTAGTGCAATAAAGAAAGCCTATGAAACCTGGAGTAATTTAAAAGTTCCTTACATTGTCATCAGTTGTCGGTTTATCTATTATCACCTCTGGCAGAAGCTGTCCAGTAGGCGACAACAGACCTGGTGGTCCATCCACTAAGGAAACTACCCCATTGCAATCCACAGTGCTGTGCATCTTCCCATTCACTGGAAACACTGCCAGCCTTCTTGACGATCTACTAGCCTGACTAATGTTACTACTGCGCCGTTCACCATGTCTGCGTGGCAAAAAGAGAGAACCTCTTCTGCTCCCACCATCCTCAAGCGTGCTGTGCTCATCATCAGCAAAGTCATTTTCTGATCCTATCTCCCTTTTGTATTCTCTAAAACTGAAAAGACTTGTTCTGCTGCTACGTCTGGGAGAAAACAGGGAGCCACGAACACTCAGTAAAGACTGCAAAGGAAACATAAAACAAAATGAGCAGCTGAAAATCTTAAATATACAAAATGCATGTCTAGGTATTAAAAAATTGTAACTTATATTCCCCAGGAATCTGTCAATTGTCAAATTATTTTTAATACAGTGCCTTAGGTAGATTTCAGACATGTGCACTGGACAGTAAAGTCATCTGAATGGGTAAATTTACAGTTTACCTAAAACACCTGTTGGAGAGAAAATAAATGAACATGCATAAGGCCGTAGTAGTTTCCATTTCTGTATTAAAGAGAAAAATCAAGACTTTTAGAAATTCTAATGATCCATGTAGATTATGCATTATGTTAGAAGATATCAATACCCCTAGCCTTCTATATTGACACATTATATTTACATTTTCCTTTTATGAAATAAACAGGGATTTCTATTTCAAACTAAGTCGGAAAATGCAATGCTGCTGTGCATGTTAAGACCCACTAGAACCTAAACAACAGAATGATGGAGACCAAAACACTTGTTTAGGTACACTCTAGAAAATAATACCAACAGTAAGTTGGTATTTAAAACAATGCAACATTATTTTTTCTTGGTTGTATTAATTTGCAAGGTTGCAGTGAAGTTTGTTGAATATTACAGTTATCTCACAAAACCCTAAAATGACAAGCGCTCTATTTACAGTACCTGGTGCGGTGATGTGAACGGCTTCCCATAAGCAAGTCTGTTCCCATCGAAAGAAAAACGGAAACCTTTCCTTCTGATACTGCCATCTGATTCAGATTTTGGAAGCTCTTCATCCTTCGCGTCATCCTCTTCTTCAGAGAGCTCCCTGTGCCTTCTTTTCTTCCTTCTATTTCTCCTTTCTTTGGCACTTTTTGAGCTAAGCTTGGATGCTTCTGAAGAACTATCTGAGGGTCCACCAATCCCACTTTCACCACTGTACTCAGTCATCTCTGCTGCAGCTGCTGCTATTGCCTGCCACAGCAATTATTTAATGTGATGCTTTACAAACCACACCATTTTTTAAAGAAAGCTACAGTCCTTGTTCCTAAGATTTATATCAAATTACTTCTAGATGTGTAACAAAAGCCTAGATGGATTTGTGCAATACTTCAAATTCTGTAATATGAGTTAAAATAAAAGGGCAGTTATCAAAGTTGCTGCTCAAATGGAGTTCTACTTTGCATCATTATCATGGAGTTAGCCCGCATTGTGTACAGCCACAAAGTTAATTAGAAAATAACTTGAACATTAATAAATTTATTAATTAAGAGTAAATGTAATTGGGTGACAGAGCACAGGAACAGGCTGCCCAGGGAGGTTGTGGAGTCTCCTTCCCTGGAGATATTCAAAACCCGCCTGGACGCGATCCTGCACGACCTGCTGTAGGTGAACCTGCTTTAGCAGGGGGTTGGACCAGATGATTTCCAGAGGTCCCTTCCAACCCCTGCCGTTCTGTGATTCTGTGATTGCAAACTAAAGAGCTAAACAGAGTCATACTTCGGTCTGTATTAATTTAGCTTTCTTAAGCTGCTTTTAGGAAAAAAATTTGTGGTTTTACTTCCAGTCTTTGATTCATTGGTGGTAACAGAGGATACAAAAATTAGTCAGAAATCTATAGACAAAAATATTTTAAACTGTAATCGAGGCTTGACAAGTATTTCACAAGTATTGCAATTATTTCTAAGCTGATAATTTGGAAAATCATCATGACAGGTTACTAGACACTACCCCTAGATAAGAAATATTTATTTAAAAAACTATTATGCTGATTTGGGGAGTACTTTTTGTTCTCAGTTCATAAATTCATTAACACTTTAGATAGTATAGATTTAAAAAGCAATAAAAAGCCATAGAGAAAGTAGTCCAAAGTACCTGTGAGGTATGTAAAAGAACAACTTTTTTTTTATATGCTAATTTAATTATTGGTTTTGAACAAATAAAGCTCAAACTCTTGTTAGAAAATACCTGAGCTTCTTCTTGCTGCTTCCTCAGCTGTTCAAGCATTTGCTGCAAGTCTGCCTCCTTCTGTTCTGCTTCAACCATAGTCGCTTGATTTTGTTCTTCATAGGCCATGGCAACCACAGCCAAAATCAAGTTAATCAAATAGAAGGAACCCAGAAAAATGACCACAACGAAAAATATCATGTATGTTTTGCCAACAGCTCGTAGTGTCTATGGGAGAAGAGAAATTATCCATCTGGTGAAGACATGCATCAGTTCTGCAGTTCATAAGCATTTACTGAACTTGAAAAGTGCAAAACTATTATCGAGTTGTTCTTCCATCTGTACTAAGATCATACAAGCTTTCTAAATCATGAAGTGAAGAAAATAAAGGGAGCATTCATATATGTGAAAAACATGTTTAAGGATCATGCTACTTTGAGAGAAATATCTTTTAATGCCTAATAATCTAGAAAAGGACGTGGGATCAGAGTAAATGTAAATCACACATCACAGATTGGATGCTTAGTATGCTTACCATGTATTAGCATGCTTTACCCTTGAAATAACCAAAAGAATTAAAGATGGCACAACTGACTCAATAACTAAAAGACAGTATTTATTAGAGTTAATTTTTCACACACCATATAATAAAAAGCTATGGTAAGAAACGTAATTTATATCAAGACATGCATTCTTAGCTATCAAAAATAGGATTCAAAGTAGAGAAATTAAGACCCAGATTTTGCTGCCACAGATTATTTTTACAATTTAAACTCAGTATTAAAGTTTTTGAAAATAAGGTCTTATCATGAGGCACAAAATTAAATATAAGCTGTAAAAATTAAATAAAGGATCACAAAATCCCCATGTGCCTCTTCAGAAATCATGTGAGATTCTGCAGTAAGTGCCCATGTCTGCTTAATTCGGCAACTGAATTTGCTTCTTTTCACAAATACTGTTCATTTTCAATTGCTAACAATAGCAATGGTATATAATGTAAATATGAATGGCCTTTCCATGTTTGATTTGGGGCCAGTAAGCCACTAACCACAATTTTTACTATACACCCACCAGCTGATAAAGATTTTCCCAGTAGTCCTGTGTCATCAGTCGAAACAGTGACAAGAAAGCCCAACTGAATGTGTCAAAACTAGTATATCCATAGTTGGGGTTTCTACCAGCTTTCACACAGATAAACTCTTCTGGACATTTACTAGGAGGAGAAAAAAATAGAAAAAAAAAAGTAAAGCAATGCATATAAAAAAAATCATGTAACGTTAATATTGTTTTTAAATTATCGTACCTTGAGCTTCTAATGAAGGTTCATTAGATCTAGTCTGTGAATGGGGCTGTTACTTGTGGCTTACAACATTTTAAAAATTAGTGAGGAAAATAGAAGAGTGTTCTTTAAAAAAAAGCCAGAAAAGAGCAAACAAGCAAGCAAAAATCTTACTTCCTACCTTCTTTCACCATTATACACAAAATGAAACTCATTCCAAACAGTTTGGTATTACCTCTGCAGATACCTTTTCTATAGAAACAATATATTTACTTAACACAGAGATTCCATAAGGTGAATACTTCCATGCAAAGAAAAAGAAAGTCAGTGTACATATTTTATGCTGAATTTTGTCTGTCAGCAGGGTTGGCATACCAGATTTCTTGGTGTTTTCAGGTCTGTAAGTTAGTCAAATCGGATTAACAAATTCTGCCAATTCCTCAACAGCAAATAACCATCACAGTGACACTTTTATCTCCTGAAATTACGTATCAGTTTTGATATTAGGTGATCCAATCTTGATATCAACTGTAGGCATACTTTTTCAGTTATGATATCATTCTTGAAGACTAGAAGAGGTTCCTGCCTCCAAAACCTCTATAGAAAAACACTATAAAGATTTCTTTTCATATATGTGCATGTATATTTGATGTGAATTTACACATATACATAAAAGTATCTAATAGATACTTACATACATACAGGAAATGTTTACAAAAAAAGATTTCACTATATCTGTTTTAAAGATATAAACAACCAAACCCAAGGGAAGAACCAACACATCATTAGAATATAGAATTATGTGATTTTTGTTACAAAGAATTGTCACAAAGAGAGAGCAAGACAGTGCCATGCATGCAGTCCACAGACCGAAGAATGCGGAAGATGTCTTCCCAAAAGCTGATCATAAGTCCCAGTGCCCCATGCCTATTTCAGAGCTGAGAAATGGCATGAAACCCATGATAAAGAAGCATGTTCTTAAGTCATTGATAATGCAGTATCTTTCCAGTTACGTAAGAGTTTTCAAAATAAATTTACAGTGAACTATTTTCTCATTTAACATTTTCACTCATTCAAATGTTTGCTTACTATGAACCATGACCACATATTATTGATTGTGAAGTTAGGTAGCTAAATCAGCTTTTTAAGTTTAGTGATATTTTTTACAACTTGTTTAGACAGGTAGTACGTAACTTTCAATGTCCCTTACCCTGCATCTGAACTATTGCCACAAAGTAGATAATCCTTTTCTCCTTCTATGCGATAGAAATGGCCTAAAGAAAAAATAGGAAGTGACATGATTATAAACAGGAGTATTTTTCTTTTTTTTTCTTTTTTTTTCTTTTTTTTGGTGAGGATGAACCTATGTTCAAGTTTTCATGGTTTGAATGTTCACAGACTCCCATTCATGTTTTCCCAATAATGGGTTTAAATACTGGCACAACCATACTGGTAAGTAAAGTTGCAAAATTAAAAAATAAAACAAAAACACAATGTAAAAACAAATTCCTAGAACACTGATTAGAACAACATAAATTGCATATTCTCTTCTTGAGTCATAGCAAACACTGAATATCCTTCCAAAATCTGATGTTCAATAAATGACAGGAAGAAAGCACAAAGCTTAAAACTACTCCTCTTATTCAGTAGGTAGATTGTAATCAGATAATTAAAGCCTATGTTATTTAAAAATGGAACTATTTACAGTGGATGTCTAACAGTTTTGAAGTCAGAACAACATTAATATGTGCTCATCCTGTGACTGAAATTATGAAGGTAGCATTTAAAAGGAAGATGGATGTTCCAATGACAATGTTATAACAGCTGCTGTAGTATAAACAACTTCACAGGATTTTTCTTTTAATTATATGGTGGTAGCCTTCAGAAATAAAGGAATATATTTTGTTATTAACAACTGTGCTTTCCTTGAAAAAAAAAAAAAAAAAGAAAAAAGAATACAGATAGTAAGATGACAACAAATTGGGGAAGAAGTTGATATAAGCAAGGGAACAGGTTGACCAGAGACGCTGTGGTACTTGAGTCCTTGGAGATACAAAAAACTTGACTGGGCATGGCACTGAGCCGTCTGTTCTAACTGGACCTGCAGCTGAGCAGCAGTTGGTCTGGACGACTGTGGAGATCCTGTCCAACCTGCATGATTTTGTGATTCTAAAACCAGCCTAACCCTATAAATACGTTAAAGTGCAGTTAATGGAAAAAACAATCATGTCAGCATGAGTTTGGGATGTAACACACAAAAATCCCTGCTCTTTGTCATCCTATTTAATTGTTTTTTATCTTTAGCCTATAGTGTGAAACCATAATCTTGTGTGTTTGTGTGTTTATACACAAAAATTTTAGCAAGTTACAACAGTATTTCTTACTTTCATTCTCAATGTATGCCATCCAATCAAACACCGTTCCATTAAAGTACGGAGCTACGTATTTTTCAAAAGATGTTGAATTTTTTGATGGCCAAAACAAGCACTTATTCTTCAAATTGCCCATGAACAGCTGCAGTCCTATTAGTGCAAACACACTCAGGCAAAACACAGTCAAAATCATTACATCTGAGAGCTTCTTCACAGACTGAATTAAGGCTCCAACAATAGTCTTCAAGCCTGCAAACAGAGACAGATTTTTACTATAATACTAAATACTTACCTAAGCTGAAATGCAATGTGAACTACTCCAATACACTATTAAATATCATGCACAGCTTCACAAAAATAGTCTTAAAATATTTTCCAAAGAAAAAAAGTACCAGTAAGTCTCATAATTCCTAACAATTTAATTTGAAATTATGAATGGGAATGAACGGTACACATTTCAAAGCACCTGCTCTTCGAATGAAGTAACGTTTTATTCATGCTTTCTATATATGTAAACTACATGTAAAGAAAATTGTTCATTTTATTTTCTTCTTGATGCCTCTTGCTCCAAACCTTTGCCAGTGTTCTGTTCCAATACAAAATATATTGGTTCCATAACAGCAAACAAAAACAGAACACAATTGCACTGTAGTAGAAGCTTTAATGATTGCATTCTATTGCATCCTATTCAACTGGAGATGGGGTTTGGTGAAGATAGGCATCTTAACGTAATAAATATATCATGCAATTCCCATGCTACTCTTTATTATTCTTTTGTCTTTGTCAGGGATTGAACTTTTATAACAGACTGAAATTTTCAGCACCAAATGTCTTTGATAAATAGTAGCATTCACATTAGTAAGAGGAAAAATGAACAAAAAAATTTGATCCTTAATGTGGGAGAGACAATTTGACATCATGAAATGGAAATATACACAGGCTATGTAATTCAATTTCTCATGCAAGAATGTATTAAACTCTGAGGCTGAGTGTTTTAGAGAATTAGAAAAGGGAATCAAATTGAAGTTAAGACTAAAACCTGGATGCTCCTGTTAAAAATATGAGTTCAGCTTCTGTGGAATTTCAGTCAGCCTCAGTGTTTAACCTCGCTCTCACCTGGAATGACTGATATTGTTTTCAAAGCTCGGAGAACTCTGAATGTTCTCAACGCTGAGACATTGCCCAGGTCCACAAACTCTGTCACATATCTGTAGTGAGGGATTCCACACACAAACATAATGACAGCACACACAAAATTAAACAGAGGTGATGTAGAGCGCCTACCATTTTACACAGTTACTTCTTACCTGGAATTACAGAAATAGTTTTCAAAGCTCTCAATACTCTGAAAGTTCGAAGAGCTGAAACATTGCCTAGGTTTACAAATTCTGTTATATACCTGTAGGATTAAATCACAGTTATTCAGAATTAAGGTAGAGTTTATACTACTTACCTGGACCTGTAATCCAGCCTATTTTTGTTGGAAGGGGCAACTTTAAATGAAAAACCTGCATTCATACTTTCCTGTTTCAATTAAGTTTTCCATAAAAAACACACCCTTAAGTATCTCCATTGAATCCCAATTCAAAATGAAATGGATTTCCCCAATTTTATTGTTTAAATACTGTTTAAAATTGATTATTCAGTGGTAACTTCTCTTTTGTACTGTGGGATAGCCCAGTAATTCTGTGTGCTACATTAGTGCAAAATATTAACATGCAAAAAACTTGAAACACAATTCAACTAAAATTCATTTTAAATGAGCTAAGGTAACTCAAACAAACTACTACAGGTTCAAAAAGAGTTCTAACTGATATTTAACTATAAAAAATTATATACTTACGCAAAAGAAATTACAACAAAATCAAGCCAGTTCCATGGGTCACGAAGGCAAGTAAAATCATTTATACAAAAGCCTCTTGCAAGGACTTTTACCAGAAATTCAAAAGTATAAATTCCAGTGAAAGTGTACCTATGAGAAAACATCAAAGCAAAAGTTAAAGATTTGTCATTCAGTGATACAACACCACAGGCATAAAGGAAAATCACCCAAAACCCAGTGATTATTACATGCACTGATATAGCAGTTACAAACTCACATACACTATGACTGTTTTCCAACCATTCTTCTGCAAGATAATTGATTTATTTAATCTGAAACATAGTTTTGCAGTTTCTTGCATATAAGATCTTGAAATTTCAGCACAAATAATAATAATCACGATTAACATAAAGAAAATATTTTTTCTCAAATAAAATATCAGCATGGTTGCCATGTCACAAATAAAATCCATAGATAAGTGAAAACTAGTGTTTTCAAGTTACTTGACAGCTGACCAGGTAAACTTGATAATGTCAAACAAAAATCCCCAGCAGAAGTATTTTCTGTAAAGAGGGTTTGTGTCCTATTTTTAGCTATTTTTTACCTTCACAGGGGCTACAGAAAGTATCTTCCACACTGAAAAGTAGTAGTTTCAGGCTGAATAGCTACTTTTTTCCTTTTTCTTCCCCTCTTTTTTTTTAATTTTTTTTTAAAAATAAAAATGCTAAAGGAACAGGTCAAGAGGGAGAATGCATAATAACATTACTTGTACAAACATTCTGAACAGGAGTATTAATCAGAGTTTTGTTCAGAGAAAAATGTTAACAATATCACAGCTTCTTTCCATCCTGGAGCTTGCGGGTCTATGCTGTTTTGAGTTGCAGCTACGACCAAACTCCAGGCTAGAAAAAGGAGAATATTGGTATTACACACAAGGGTAAGTAAAACTATATGGTCTAGCTCCTAATTCAGCTTTTCATTTTTAAACCACTTAAAAATTTATTAGCTAATTTAAGTATACTTACTCTACATTCTTTGTCCAGTCTGGAAGGTTATTCCATGTCATAAACACACAGTTTGTCAAAATAGTGAGCATAATGAGCATGCTGAACAATGTTGACTGTGGTTAAGGAACATACTCTTTTTTTAATGGTGAATTTGCATAGCATAAAACATGACAAATCCACCAGGCTCTTAGATACTGACAACATATATGATACGTATCAGTTTACTTTCACTAGCAATGTCATAAATAATGTAAAGATGTTTCACAGTAATGACGGCTATACCACTAACTCTATAATCTAGGTGTACATGCAGTGCATCTCTTCATCTGAATTTAATCAGAAGATTAAAGTGACAAATCTTAGCTCTGACTCATTTTGACAAAGAATTTAGGGCAAGAACACATTTAAACACTAAACCAGAAAAAATCCAGTGTTATTAAATATTAAAAAAGACCAGTAATAATTTTTAACAAACCACTTGAAAAGGATATGAATGAACCAAAATCTTAATAGCTACCCTTCTAATAATATTGAAAGGAGATAAAAGGTACAAGGCAGGTGTGGCACTGAACCTGAAGATGGTCTTCCCTTTATTCAACACTATAAATGTCTTAAAACAAACAAAGAAACAAAAAAGGGGGAGGTGGATAGGAAATTAAGGAAATTAATGTTAGCAATCTTGCCATAAACAGAGGCTTCACTTACACAGATCTAAGTAACAAACTTATTTTCAGTAAAATGATACAAGCAAAAATCAAATTCTAAATTTTCACATGAATAAAGAAAACTAACCACCATGCATTCTTTGTCTCTGTGCTCTTAAACAAAATCTTCATTTCAGCATTTTCCAGGATTACATAATTGCATTAAAAAATATAACCTAAAAATTGTAATTTTAAACATTTAAAATTAATTCAGCTATATTACTTGCACTTCAGATCAAAGATGGCAATGCAAAACAAAGCACCTAAATAACCATTTTTGGACACTTACAAGCAACTATTTAACCATTTCAGCACTTCAAAACTGCTTCTGAGGTGAGACAGCCTTGTCTTTTAAAGGCCTATGCAGTCACCACTAGTACCATTTATGCAACCATTTTTGATTTTGACTTGGAGACACAATGAAAATATTACGTAATGAAATCTTAATCCAATCTACATCTTATGATTATTCTCCCAAAAGGCTAATATCCAGAAATAGGCAGGTTTTAACATTGAATCTTTTTGGTTTTCTAACGACACTGTAGAAGAAATAGGTCATTTGACAGTAGCATTCATCAAGCTGAAACAACAAAAACTAAAATTACTAGAAAAACATACATCTGATTATTAGTCTTCAACATTCCATATGAGAAAAAACACTGCTTTAACTTACTTGCTTTTACAGAGACAATATAGCTCTTTGGTCACTTACATGCAAGATACTAATCTGTTGATTATCGAGGACTCATTTCAAGAACCTGTTCTATGTTTTCAATTCAACAAGCATTTTATGAATTTACACAATAAAATAACCACTCGCTGCTTATTTTGTACTGCCTTTTTAATGCAAACTCAATTTTGCTTTCATTCTGAACATCATTCCACTTCTCATGCCTACGTAAAAACATTTTTTCTTAATTTGTACTTGACAAAATCATCACCTGAGTCACATCACAGTACAAATATACAAATTTAGATTTTGTCTTCAGTTTCAAAAGAAATTAAAAGACATCTAATGCAAAATCCATTAACTCAAAATATCATTATAAGGAAACCTCAGATATCAAAAGAAAAGCTCTTTTTCCAGAAAAAAAAAAAAAAGGCAACTTAAGCAGAAGAGTTATAGTCATGTTTACATATTCAAAAGAAGTAACATAATATCCCATATTGTGTAATACTTTCAACCAGGGCTTCTGACTATCTCCACACCAGAGCATTTATCACTTGATATACAATAGGAGTTTTCTAATTACAATCTTAATATAAAACACTTACTTTTTTATTCATATAATAAGGATCCAGATCCTCCAGGGGCTCAGACACCATTCCCGGAGGAATATCACCATAAATAAATGGCAGTGTCTTTCCAGCCTCCAAGTCGCTGCTTGGCTTTGGGTGATTTTCTTCATGACCACCATCATCTTTATGCTCGTCTTTGTCACAACGAGATGTTTCATCAGCAATACGTTTTTCAATAGCTGCTAGAGAGTCTTTGGTGAAATAGAAGAAGCTCTCAGACCCTGGTGGTACCAGCATTGCCTGTGCCATTTTTTCATTCTGCAAACTTCAAACGCTTTTAGGCTTTCGTGCAAGAAGATCCTAGGAGACCAGGAGAAAAAAAGAAACAGAAAATAGAGGGCAACAGCGACAAATAAAAGCTTTTGGCATAGTCATCATTCATCTCTTTCCTAATTCCAAAGCACTGCAGCAAGAAGTATCTGAATTGTCAGACAACTGTCAGACACGAAATAGAAAATTAGCTACTAGTAACAACATGGCAAACAGATACAAGTTATGAGGCAAAGAAAAAAATGAAAGGGAGAAAAAAAGTGATCAAATTTGCATACAGTTTGTCAACTCAAGTTAATACAAACCTCACAAGAAAAAGGAAGAACTTTCTCACTTTCCCTAGCCTAAATATTGTTAAAACATACCTTATTGTGAAAAAGTGAGAAATGTGTAAAGACAGCTATGTACTGCAGTCAATGGTTTCAACTTCTAACGTGGATTATACATGAAATTGGCACAGTACCTTAAAAAACCCTTGCAACTTATATTTCAAAAGCAGAAAGAAAACACATGCCCTTTCTATTACTCTTTTCCATTTCTGATGGCAAGACTACTCCATCTGGTGGCTTATACTATGCTTGCTAAACTAATGTTTATATTATACTATTAGGTACTACAATAACAGATTCTATATTTAAAGCCATATGCACAAACAGAAAGCAATTGGGCTGAAGTTTAGTCTTTCCCTTTTTGCGTTTCCTGACTTGCATCTTCCTCATTTTTAATTGTAACTTCAGTGGTGCTATACTCCATAATTAAGGAAGTTATGATGGATTTAAGGAAGATCTGATGGATGAAGGGTTTTAGAATTACACATAAAACACAGCATGCTCTCCCCAAAGTTACAGTAATTTCTCTGAGGCAAAATGTATTTTCAAAAGACCTAAAAATAATAAAATTATGAAATACAACAAACGGTAATGTATCACTTCTTTCTAGGTTTCTATTTTCTACAGTGAGAGCACAGTTAACACCCATGGGTGCAGTATCTTCAGAAAAAAACCCAATTTTATGAACAGAGACAAAATGGAATCCAGTCCTGCTTGCTGACTTTGGTAAGTGTTGTAGCCTTTGTCAACACAATGTTGTGGTGGGTTGACCTTGGCTGGCTCCCAGCCAGCTGCGCTCTCACTCCCACTTCTCAATGGCGGGGGGGGGGAGAGAACAAAGTGAAAAACCACACACATTGGGATAAAGACAGGGAGATCACTTACCAATTACTGTCATGGGCAAAACCGAAAGAACCCACCCCCGCCCTGCTTGCCTCTTTTTTTCTAGGCTCAGCTTTGCTCTTTCACTCTCAACTCCTGTACCTCCTCCCTCCCTGAGCAACAGGGAAGATAGGGAATCAGGGGCAGCTCCTCCCTGCCGCTCCTTCCTCCTCACATTTCCCCTGCTCCAGTGTGTGTCCTTCCCACAGGCTGCTGGGCCTCAGGATAAGACTGCTCTAACGTAGGCTCTCCACATGCCACAGTTCCTTCAAGGAATATCCACCTGCTCTAGTGTGTATCCTCCACAGGCCGCACGGAGGAGCATGTTCCAGCATGCTCCTCCGTGGGCTGCAGGGAAATACCTGCTTCGTACCATGGCCTGTCCCACAGACTTCCAAGGAATGTATGCTCCAGCACCTGGAGCCCCTCATCCCCTGCCTTCTTCACTGACCTTGGTGTTCTCGGGGCTGTTTCTCACACTTCTTTCCTTACTGTGACAGGTGACATTTTCCCCCTCTTGGGATGTGTTTTCCCACAGGCACCACCATCTTGGCCCAGGGACTCAGCCACGCCCTGCTGTAGGGCCATTGGAGCCAGCTGGAACTGGCTGTGTCCAGCACGGGGCAGCCCTGGCCTCTCCTCACAGAGGCTGCCCCTGCAGCCCCCCACTGAAACAGGTGGTGCCACAGGCACCCAGTACAGAAATAGTATGAATACTGGCCAGGGTGCTGTGAGGCCTATTTCGGAGAGGAAAAAAACAAAGTGGATTTACATCAGTTGCTCCATTTGCTATAGGCTCCTGTCACCAAAAATGTCACAGACTGAGCCTGTTCTACCCAGGAGGTAAGAGTTGGTTAAAGACAGAACTTTTTTTCTGATCACAGTGTAGACTCAATAGTAGGGATGTGTTGGGAAGGAAAAAAATTGATTACATGCTTTTTCATGGTCTAACAGCTCCAAAGTCAATTAACACATGACCATGAATCCCAGAAATCTACTACTTCTATACCAACTTTTAGGTAACATTTAGGCCAACCTAACACTAGTTGAGGAAATTTTCTATTTTTTAACAATTTTGCAGCAGAAACTAAATTCTCACGAACATGCAATCTAACGTTACAGAAGCCATCTCTTCCTTTAAATTAGCCAGTCAAGAATATGCACAGACTTCAAATCCCTGCTTTTTCAGGTGAGCTACTACAGCTTCTGAGTCCTCAGCAAATACCCTTTACCATGAAAAAAAAGATGCAAAAAAGGGGTCTCTGGACATGCTAGTAAAGAGGTCAGAAATTTCCTAATAAATAGCTATAGAAATCAGACATTTTTCATGTCAGACAGAAAGCACTTTAGGAAAACACAGAAATTTTTTTTCTCTGCAACAGCAAGCCTGAGAATGCCAAGTGTTCCCCTACTTATTACAAAATTAATAATTTAATCTGTGCCATCTTGAAGTGATTCACCATTTTCAGTTGAAAGGTTTGTTGTCCAGCCTTCTCCATTGAACCCTTCACAAATTCATAGCACCAGTGACTCTGAATATCTTCCCAGCCACACTTGGACTGAGAACCAGCTGTGTCTCAAAAGGTACTTTTCCTTCAGAAGCTTGATGACATCTGGGGCTCTAAATACTCAGAGAACAGGCACCAGCAAAAAGAGAGAGAGAGATCTGTCTTACTAGGAAGGACACTGGGATCCTTTTCCATGAGCTTAATTTTTACCTAAGAGCTAAAGTAATGCAAGTATTGTTTAGTATCCTTAGGTCATTTATATAGCTTACAACTCTGTTTTTCAGAAATAAAATAGCAGGGAGGGGGTCTCTGTATCATCTGCTTCTTTATTTGTAAGCTGAAAATTCATAAGGTTTTCCTTAAGAGTTAGCAGCCACGTCCATTTAAATTGTTTTTAAGTCACGGAAAATTCTTACTAGCAGAGGCTTTTTCCTGCACCAAGATGGTAGTAGTTTTAAGTTATATAGTGGATTTAAAAAAAAAAAAAACAAAAACAAAAAAACCCCATACCTAAATGGTATATTAACCAATACTGTATGTGTTGTAACAGATTCTGAGGACTGAACATACATAAAATTTGCCTTTTCTGTATTGGGTGATGCAAACTACAGTTAATATATATGCAGCTATATGTAATCAGTCTATACACACTCAGTTATTACCTAAAATGATTAGATGGTTGCACAAACTCTTTTAGAGTCTGAAGAGAGCAAGAGAGCAAGATCTACAGCCATTAGAACAAATTCTGTCCTAAAACCAAATAAAACCAGACCTGTACACATGGTGCTGCTCTGCTACAGTCATGCTGCCCTTCATGAGCTAAATACAATACAGGTTTTCCAGCACATCTACACATCACTGTCCAGTTCATCATGCCTGCGAACAAGTAGGGGCATACTTCGCAGTCTAAGAAATACTTATGCAACTTCATGGTTTGACGACTATCTTCAGAAACAAAACAGGCAGAAAAAAACCTTGTCAACAAAAAGGGGAGGTACTCTTGGAGAACACGGCAAATACATTCAGCTAGTCTTCTGGAGGACGTTCTCATTACTTGGAGAAAGACTTTGCAAAACTTTAAAAATAGTTTTCTATGCAACTTTACAAATGTAGACTCAGAAGGTGATGAATACGATGCCTGCAGAAACTACTTGTTATCAAACACGCACTTGAAAAATGTCACTAACTGTTATGTCTGTCTATGCATTTTGGCTAAATTTATTCTTTAGAAGTCTATAATATGTAAAACTAAAAGTTCATGACTGTTCATTTTACCAAATACCACTATGGCCTTATGGCAGTTTTTCTGAGTTGGTACAGATGTTATCCGAATCTTTCCACTTGAAGGTCCATATTCCACTGGTTTATTCAGCAAAGCTTAAGTGGTATCCTTAGGGCTGAGATGAACTCCAGTATTTCTCTCTAGAGACACCATAGCCAATGACTGCAGCACATCTCTCGGTGTTAACATAAACTAGAAAAAAAGTTATTTTCCAATACATAACAGGAATGTCTTCCATTAATGATTTACCCTAACAGCCTAATCACAACCCATGCTTGGAAAAACTCCCACACCTATTAAACATCCTGAGTTACAGTTCAGTGACCATATTTTCTTGTCATGACTTTTTTAAAGTACTACAAACATGTAAACTCTGTAGCATTGTGGAGCAAACTGATGCCACTAATATCATTACCTCATGAAAATCAGTTTACCCAAGAAAGAAATGGAGTGAAAAAAAATTATGAAGAAGGATGGATTGGTTTAATGACTTAAATTTTCTCCCTCTCTTTTCTGCACTCTTGATGGCTTCTGTGTTATGAACTGAGAGGTAATAACAAATCAAATCAGACAACAAAAGAGTATGAATCCTGAAGAAACTAAAACTGACACCCACCCCACTCCCAAACCCCACAAAGGTCCTTCTGAAAGCTTCCACGTCCCCCCAAAAAACATCAGAAAATCCATCAGCAGCAAAAACCAAAACCCAACACATAAAACACCCTGCTTTCTCAGCTTACTATTAAGAAATAGGCTTCTAATACAACATAGCTATATTCTGCATGTAAGCCTGAATGGAGACTCTCTCCATCAAGGAGGACAGAAAAAAAAAATTACAAATGAAAGATTACATACAGGCAACTGCTGCATACCACTATCTAGTAGCACAGCACTAGATGGAAACTCCTGGGTCCAGGAACAAAACAACATGAAACTAATGTAAACATTAATATATTCTTATACAATACAGTTGAATGA